GGACACCGGAGCTGTTCGTGCGCTCGGAGTTGCATCAGCCGCCCAAAGGAGTCCTCCTTCACGGGCCGCCCGGTTGTGGCAAAACGATGATCGCGAAGGCGACGGCCAAGGAGGCGGGCGCTCGGTTCATAAACCTGGAGGTGCCGGCGCTCACCGACAAGTGGTACGGAGAGTCGCAGAAGTTGGCCGCAGCGGTGTTCACACTGGCGCTGAAGCTGCAGCCGTGCATTATCTTCATCGACGAGATCGACTCGTTCTTGAGGTCGCGCGACACCCACGACCACGAGGCCACTGCTATGATGAAGGCCCAGTTCATGATCCTCTGGGACGGACTCATATCCGCCAAACACTGTCAGGTGATAGTTATGGGCGCCACCAATAGGCCGCAAGACGTGGACAAAGCAATACTGCGCCGAATGCCGGCTATGTTTCAGATCCATCTGCCGAGTAAAGCCAAACGAAGAGCGATCATCGATCTGGTCCTCGAACGCGAAGAACTCAACGCTAACGTCGATTTGGACACCGTTTCCGACATCACCGACGGCTTCTCCGGAAGTGATCTCAAGGAGTTGTGCAGAACTGCTGCCATGTTTAGAGTCAAGGAGTTCTCCACTCATTTGCTGAGCGCTTTGCCGGCAGACATGACGTGTGAGGACAGGGACCTCATGTCACCCGACCTCATAGCCAGTCTTCGATGCATTAATATGAATGACTTCCTGTCGGCCGTTCAGAAGATGAAGGAAAGCAAAGTAATGATGGTTTCCGGCCATTCGGTCATTGGTCTCGACTAGACATCTATCAACTCATCCATAGTTAGTGTCCATTAGTTTCACACTCTTCTACACCCACTCTCTAATCGCANTTCCTGTCGGCCGTTCAGAAGATGAAGGAAAGCAAAGTAATGATGGTTTCCGGCCATTCGGTCATTGGTCTCGACTAGACATCTATCAACTCATCCATAGTTAGTGTCCATTAGTTTCACACTCTTCTACACCCACTCTCTAATCGCACCCACACTTCAATATCTCTCCAATCATTTCGCTACAAATTTCAATACATTTATTAGGCATTGAATTCAATTGGAAATTGTTTTTAATTTATTTTATGTTAATTACGATTAAAAGTTTACTCAAATTATTTTGTTATTCATTTCATTTTCACTTCTACTGTACATTGGGGTCGTATTTGTAGGGTTTATAAGAGTTTGTAAAGGGGGTGGGGGTTAGGGTATCCAATGTAACGCATGCTTAGCAAACGATTTAGTCGTATATTCATATAATGTACAGTAAATATACAATTAATGTAACACTCATTGCGTTATTCAATAAAAAAAATGTTTAATTAAAGTGTAATTAAAGCGACAAATGATGGCATCGAGTGAGTGATTGGCGGACAACGAGTGGTGCCATCAATTAGTCCCACTTCTTGAGTTCGCAGCCATCGGGAGGCTTGACGTCCACCTTAGAGGCGCCCACTTCTGACCAATTGGTGCTTAAGACGGTTCCGCCGCTCTCTTGAAAGCTCTTATTCATG